CACAAAATACACACCGAGCAACACACAACAATACGGAATCGCAGGGCTAATTAAGTATATATATATTTCGTATATATATATATATATAGATACTAATGCATATATATATTGAATATATATATATATGTATATCGTATATATTTGTCTGATATATGTCATATATGTATGCGTACACTTGTTTGTACATCACCGGCTCCTATAGCGCACTCTCGAGCGGGACGTTACGCGCGAGAAAAGATGTACCTCTCGAAATTCGACATGACAAATTCGAGACAACGCGAGATTTACGATCAAGCGATCGCCACGGGAAAGTCGAAAATTCTTCGAAACGCGAAATTCCGTCTCTCCCTAGAAAAAAAATGAGAGAGAGAGAGAGAAAGAAAGGGAGAGAGAGAGAGAGAGAGAGAGAGAGAGAGAGGGACGCACACGACCTCGCCGAAATACTCGCGCGAAGTGCGCGCGTGACCGATGTATACGGGCCGGTGGTAACCGTCTGAGACACACGATAGATGCAGAGGGAAATAAAAAAGAGAAAAAAAGCAAGCAGCCGCAGAGAAATGTATTCCATATTAGCAGATAATTTAGATAAGTGGGAAGACGGACAGGTATATACGGATTTGAGGAGAAAAAAAAAGGGAGGAAAGGGAGAATCATGAAAAAGCGGGGAGGTCAAAAGGCAAATCGCATAACTTGTATATTAGTGTATAGAAAAAAAAAAGAAAAAAAACACGTAGAGACGATGAAATAGCTACGAAGAAGACGAAGAAGATTTAAAAAAATAATAATAATGAATACGGATCATTTTCGACAATGTTTTTTACAAACCGACGGAACAGCGCAAGTAGATAAAAAAAAACGAGAACAAAGGAAAAAAAAGAAACCGCGTCATTGTACCATTTTAAGCGAAAAAAAAGAGGAAAGGAGAGAAAAAGCGATGTGAACGAGAGAGAGAGAGAGAGAGAGAGAGAAAGAGAGAGAGAGCATTTTTATTGTCTCGCGAAAAGATGTGTTGCATTTGCGCGGACTTGAAAAATCTTTCTTATTCTGCCAATTTAACAAAAGATGCATACTGGTGTGTGAGATCGAGATTATCGCGTACACGCACTTCGTGTCGTTTTGGGGGAAAAAAGAAAGGAAGATTTGATTTTCCGCTCGATCGCGTTTTTTTTTTTTTAAGTTCAATAAATCTAACGACGCACATCGTCCGAACGACATTATAAAAACACACACACACACACACACATATACATGAAAGAAAATTAGTCATAGAGTAATAATAAAATTTTCGTACATAAGCGAGAATATTATAATCTTCTTAGAAAATTTTCAATCTTGATTTGATTTCGTGTAATATTTGCACCAATACGAATTCAACCACCAAATAATCGGCGAATATTAATAAAATCGTCACATGGGTGATTTTTTTACGGTCGGTTCTGTCACTTTGCGAACGTGGGAGCAGTGAACCGCCGCGATTTGTAGCTTCTGTTTCCGAGTTCGGGATTATCGATTTAGATCTGTCGATTCGGAGTTCGGATTTATCTTCTAACTTTTTTACTTTCTAACTTTCACATCGTGCATTTCGCGTTTATCAGTTCGATCGTGCTCTTACCGGAGATACGTGATCGCCTTTCACACGTTTAAAATCGGCCGATGGACGCGCCGCTGATTCGATGCGACTCGATTCTCCCGTACTCTTTTTCTCACTCATCCTTTCCAGGTCGGGACGGGAGAAACCGGTGACGGGGAAACGCGACAATAGAACTACATGTTATACATAAACAAGTTCAAACAAACACAAACATAAACGGATAAAAGAAACACACTCATACGACACATCGAAGATGACTAGAAATAACACAAGTGCATCAAGTTTTTGTTATTATTATTATTATTATTATTATTATTATCATCAACTTAGAATCGTCTCGGAAGCGGCCAGTCGCGCATCGAAACGATCAGTAAGGTACATAAAGTTACAGGTAATCAATTAAGAGAATCTTTATGCATATTCACTTCGGTTACACCGCTATAGCTGCAGATAAATATACGTTCGCTCGCCACAATCTATTATAATATTCGCAGATGCGGTGAACGAAATGACCGATTGATCAGTTAATTAATTAAATAAATAATTAATCGATCGATCGATCGTTCACGAGATCGCTTGGCACGTCGCGCTTGGGTTCCCTCTCTTCGCTTACCTTCCTCGTTTCTCTTCTCTCTTTCTTCCTCTTCTTTCGCGTTCTCGTACAACTTTTCGTTGCCTTCTTTCCACGCGCGCGACGGTGCACGGTGCACCGCCTTGCTGCCTACTTTTAGGATCCCATTATTGCACGACACGTCGTCCTTCTTGATTCTCGCGTCACACACGATAAACTTGTCTCCCTGAATTTTTCATACAAATTGCACGTAAGGCGATCTACACTCGTCGTAATCGGGAGGCCGAGAGAGAACGTGGTCCCGATGCGGTGATAAGTGAAATACGTACGTGATGAAATAAATACGCGAATAAACGGGCAAGATTTAATAAACACGGCACAGACGACGCGTGTGACGAGAGAAAATCCCGTACGAAAAAAAAGAAAAGAAGAAAAAAAAACTCTCCTCCCGTCGCTCTCGTTGACTCTCTCGATTGTACATTCGGCGGTACATACAAGCAGAAGTGTAAATTTCCGAGTAAATAAGAGCGAGACGCGCGGGTGACCAATCGAGATCACCGATCGATCACGCACCATCAATCACCTCGGGAAATACGGCGCGCGGCGAGTGACCGCCGCGAATCTCCTGTCCGTGCGAATCCCACCTCCTAGCGGTTGACTGTACGATGCAGAGAGCCGTGCTGGTAGTTTGTGTTGAGTCTAAAAATGAACAAGAATAGCATTTCACTCTTCATAAGTAGGCATATCCACACACATACACACAATACAGAGAGTACGACACGACACATGGAGATATACGTATACACATACACAGACCACACGTCCACACATACACACAGAGGAGAGAAACGAAAAGGTAACAGCCCCAGTACAGCGACACATGCACTAATACATACACACGTATACGCAACACACACATTTAACGAGACAAAAAAAGTAAAAAGTGGATAATGGATTAACGGTATTCTAAATGTAACATGTATATGATGGCTGTACAAATGTAACATTTTTTTCCATTATGTATGATGATAATAAAGATAATGAGGACAAAAAACCGGGAGATTTGATGCGACAGGGGGAAAAAATCGTGAGGAATGAAACTAGGAGGCAAGGGGAGAAGAGAAAGAGAATTATAAAGAAAGATACTACGAAAGTGCGCGCGACGATCGGCACGACGGGGGAAATCGCGACGATGACGACGACGCGACTCGATCCCGTCGATGATCCGTCGGCGCACGATTGTGCGAGTGATTTAATCAGTAAACTACTATTACTTTTAATTACTATGAAATAACATTTCTGTAATAACATTATGATATAAAACCATACATTGAATGGCAACTCTATCTTGATCTCTCTGTCTGTCTGCACGATTCTGTCTTGCGTTCCTGTACCTTGCACGATCAAGTTACACGATGGTCCTGAAAGATACACGCTTGAGAATCACCCAAAGGTGATTCGGAACACACAATTATTCCAGGTCGGGAGGGAAGAGACAGAAATGAGAGACGAAGGAACCGTGTTAGGCCGGTGCGAAGGGCTCGTTGCATTCGTTGATAAGACTGAACAATATATTACTTCTTCAGTACACAGTAAACAATTTCCTTTTTAATTTAGCACGTTTCATACGTCGAAAAGCGGCCCAAATTTTTGTGTGTATTTAACACAAGGTGAACAGGTTGGTAAGTAACGTAATGTCAGAAATTACCACAAAATTAATATTGGTAATATTAATATTACATATTATTAAACTATTATTTCCCTTTCTATTTTCGGTACAAAATTAATAGATTAATGGACACTGAAATGTAAAATGTTAGGATAACAAACATAGTGTGTTAACACTCCAGATATGTTAAAAATTTAACATAACAGAAATGTTAACGATTCGTTCGATTTTAGCAAATTACAAAGTAAGATAGAAAATACAAATTGTTCTTTACTGTGTGCCAAAATCCCCCACGAATCGAAATTCCACGACGGGAAAGACGAATCCGACGACGAGCCCTCGGCAGCGAGCTAACAACACCGTACTTTGTCAAGAACAATAATATATTGTCGTAATTGTCGCGAACGCAGATGCGGCGGCTCGACGTGACGCTCGACTCGCTCTCTTGGGAGCCCCCTGGATTCTCACATGAGATCTCTCTTTATTTTTTTTTTTTTCGAGTACACAGCAAACGTCGTTCGACAACAGACTTAACAGTGATGAGGAATGGCCAGTCGCAACGAACGCTCTAACGCACAGGCGGTGCTCCCGGCAAATGAAATGTCCCGCTGCAGGATGAGAGGATTCTCCCGAATCTTACACCGTTCGAGGAACGGGGAAAGAAACGCATCTACGAAGGGGGGAGGGGGACAACAATGCGTGAGCAACGATTACGTGTCGTATTTATTAATCAATTGCATGCACAACAGCGTGTTAACGGCGCGAAATCATAGCGACGGCTGATATCTCGTGACGTTTTTCTTCTCCTCTCCCTTTTATTCCCAGCGCAGCCATCCAGTCATTTCAATCACCTTTTCTTGACGAGTCGTCATTATAATATTCACTATCATCCAAAAAATGAGTCACCTAGACAACACAATGTCTGAGAGATTTAAGACCGTCTTTCAAGACGTTTTACGCCTCGATTTTAGACATTGCGTTGTCTGAGTATGCACTCTACTTTTTTTTCCTGAGCTGCCGTTAAATTTGTAAAATTTGGGCGTTATATAGAGGTGGGGATGGTATGGCCTATCTTAATATCTCTGTGGCGAATATTATGTGGCGAATTAAAATATATACATATATATTTATCATATACAATATATATACATATATATTTTTATATATACATGTATATATTATAAGGTAAGTATTATTTTTTGCTTAAATGATCTTGGTTACTTTCAGAATTTGACAAAAAGTGTCACTTTCGGTCATAATTTTTATGTCTGAAAGATCACTTTTCACCCTCTGAAACCCACTTTCCACCAAGAAGCAATCACTATTTCACTTTTTGTCTCGATAACTGGATGGCAGCGCTATATTTCTCAAAACATATCTACATCTCGACTTCCATATTTTTTTTTTCCTTTCGAAACGCAACCGCGATCTCGGGTATAAAACATGCGAATTTCATACCGGTGTTCGCACTCGCGCGCACTTTTCATCTCTTTCTCTTCCCGGGGAAAAGAAGATTACGCATAATCGTATAAAATTATATATAATCACTTTTTCCCAGGTAGTTCCTCGTTAATACTTCCGCTCGGTGATGCTACGCTTGCTGACGTATGCTCTTCTATGTGAGTGTCTCTTATTTTTATTAAACTCGCCATACCAAACAGTTAAATACATTTCGTATAAAAACTATTGTAATATCTTACGTGTAACGTAATGCAACATTTGTTGGCTCTCGTTTCGCCGTTTCACTTGTTCCTGTCGGCGCACGTTGTCGACGTGTCGTCGGTGCGGATCTGATCGCGGTGAGTGCACACTTGGAATTCACGTTGACGATCGAGATACCGGGAGGAATCGACGACTCATATGTGTTTGTGTGTGTGTGTGTGTGTGTGTGTGTGATCGCAGGGAAAGTGACGTTTCACAGCTTCGATTCTGCAATTTCTCGCGCGAATTCGCCGTTGGCTCGTATCGATTCTCCTCCTTTACGCAGACCACTGAGGAGAAACGCATCGAGGAGAAACGAACATCTCTCGCAAGTGCCTGCACAATACCGAGCCCAAAGTAAAACGTCATTTCCAGCTGGCTCCGTCCGTTTTAGCCACAGGATAAAATTTCTCATTTAATTACATATAATTGCATATGGGAAATTTTGTCTCAAGAAGGGACATTAGTCTCGTTCTGAACGAGAAGCGCAGCTAAAACTGGCAGATCCATGTGTATCTTGCCTACCTTTTCCTCTGTCTTTCTCTTTCGTTTCCAAGTACATGACTATTTTGTATATAAACGTTTAAATCTCACATAAGAATCTCCATCGTTGGTTATTACGTTATTTCTACTTACGATGCGATACACGAAACATTTTTTCACATTGTCGGTATGTGTGTATTTTGTGTCTGACAAGGGAACACCGCGAACTCTTCGATTTGGATCGAAAAGTGGCACAATTGGATACATGAATAATGGTATGCCTGTTCGCCCTTCAAAAGTATGATTTTCGATTTCAAAGCCGAAAGGGTGTTTCTACTTCTTCGCGTATAACTCTTAAACTACAGGAGATGGAGACAAATATTTTGAATGAAAGTTTAATGGTAAGTTAAGGGGCTACAATGTGACGTGAAGAAAAATGTAAATAAAAGCCTTTTCCTTCGTCAAAATTGTTAGGACAAATTTTCAAAAATATCTCTACGCCACTCTGTAGCCCTTAACTTACTATTAACATTTCGTTGTAAACATTTTTCTGTGTCTCTTATAATTTAAAAGTTACACACCGAAGAGTGGAAGCGCTTCGGCTTTGAAATCGGATATCATACCCACAAAAATTGTTCCAAATCGAGAAGTTCGGCATCGCAGTGTTACTTTGTGAATATGTGTATGTGTGTTTATGTATTTATATTTTATGTACATGCACGCATATCCGCGAGTCCTATTTAAAAACGTGGCTCCGGTTGCCGGTGTGCCCGTTCGACCGTTTGATTCCTCAACAAAATTGCTACCTATGCGACGTCGCGTTCTTCCTCGTTTCACGACGACCTCGATGATCGGCAATACGACTGCGAATAACTAGAAACGCGACCCGGAAGCCGTCGCGCGTCTCGTCGCGTCGCTTGCCTTCTTCTTCACTCGTCTCCGCGAATCTAACGAATCTATTCTCTGACTAGCGTATTAAAAATGCTCCCCTTCTTCCTCGCTTCTTCCCTCTCTTCTTTTAATTTAAGGCCCTTAGTCACTGTCCTCCGTGTTTCGCGGGGCGCAGGTCAACGGTCGCCGACTGTCCTCGTCCGATCCGTATATCACTTCCTCCTCCGAGTCGTTGAACATCGAGAATGCGGGATTATCCTTCGTTATGGACGAGTCTGAAACGCAAACGTGTTCAGGTTAGAACGACGGGCCGAGCAAAAGGAGCTCCTTTTCCTCCAACGACGAAAGCTCTGAGGAACGTCGAGAAGTATCTACTAAGAAAGCTAAAACAACGCTTTTAATCCTTCAAATATCATTAGAGAAATCATTAATAGAGGTACTCACGTTGCCCGTAGACCTGCTGGAGCGCCGGCGCGTAAACGTACGCCATGGTGTACAGGTAGAAATTGAGAAGACCGTAAAGGGCCATGAACTGTGCGGATGTGCGGTAATAAGTGGAGAGGCGAGAGGCGAAGCTGTCCTCCAATACACCGGCTCCGAATTGCCGAGCGGTGACTAAACTGCAGACGCCGGCGACCACCGCGGCGAGCAACGTCAGGAACCGCAAACGAAGATCTGCAGGAGAATCAAGCGAACCGTGACTCGTTAATTTCGAATCTTGTGAAAATACTTGAGACATTTCATCGGAAATTCGTCGAGCCGGAAGTGTTCGCAAGAAATATCACGGGATATTCGGAATTTTGCAATTTTCTGTCCGAGTCTTTTCCGAAAATTCGTTTCAATTCGTTAATAAAAAGCTCGGAAACGCTCTGAGAAAGTCTTGAAGATTTTTCGTGAAAATTATGAAAAGTTCCGAGATATTTTTTTCACCGCTCACCGAAGTATGGCATAGACCGTAGTTCGCTGTACGCCCTTAATATGAGAAGCAGTAAGTAAGCGATGTAGAAGCCGCCCATCGTGAAGAAGAATACCTTGAAGCCCTGGAAAAACGAACGCATAAGGTACGGGATATGCCGGGATATTTAATGCCCTTTTATGCAGTTTACTCACGTAGTAATTAGACGTATCGAGAACGTAATTGTAAGTGGGATCCTCCAGTTCGGTGCAACGAAGCCACGTGGCGAGCGTCAACGCCGCGCCCCACAGCATGCCCACAACCAAGAGCTTAGGCAGGTAAAACGTGATGAGTCGTCTCTCATTCTAAACGGACAAGGAAACACAATAGAATTAATAATAATAACATTAAATATTTTACATGTAATTTTCGTATATACAGGGTGAGACAATAGCCATTACCGTCTCGAATATCTTCGGCAAATAAATACAAATAATATATAAATAAACATTTTATCAATATTAAAATGTTATTTTATTGTTTATCGATGTCAGTATTTTATAAGATTTTATTAATACAAAAAAATAAATATCTTATTAACGATCACGTGAAAAGAAGTAGGAAGTTTACATTTTCGGAGGGTAAAGTGACAGACATTAATATCCATGCAATTTCTGTTAATTTATTGTAATCTTTCGGAAATATTCAAGTAGTAATTATTGCTTCACCCTGTCTATTGCGATCTTATGTTGATCTAGTTTATTTAGAATGCGTCTTATAATACATGATATTTATATATAATATAAAGTATAATATAATAATATAATATTGTAATATAGTAATATAATATAATAATATAAAATAATATAATAATACCTGTCTAAGGCCGTGATAGACGCAGAGCCAGAACATGAGGATGGCGCACAAGAAGGTGGTCTGCAGAATCGCGTCCAGCATTCCGGGCACCCAGGAGTTCACCAAGAAAGTCATAGGGAACAGCGGATCTATCAGGTGAGACATTTGCGAACACAATTAGACGTCTAATAGAGTCGAGCAATAATCGGCAAGAGTGGGCCACGACGGTTCACGAGAACTCACTGTTGTAGAGGATCAGCAATGGAAGAAGTATGGAGATCCACTTTTGCTCGATCGACCAATCGTGCAGCGGATACTTCCTGAGCGAGTGACCGAACCAGCACTGAAAGCAATAGCGTTTAGAAAGTATTTTGTACAGCGGGGTTTGTCGTTGCTATATGTGTGTTTCTTTTTAACGCATGTTTTATTTTTTTGTCACGTCACACCGAGGACGAATTACCATCACTCCGAACGTGGTGAGCAGGAAGATCAGCCGGAACCAGATCTCGATCTGCGTGAACGCCGGATTGTAGTTCTTGAACTGTGAACCGAGAAAAGCGAGAGGGCAACGTGAAGGTGGCGAGAGATCGGAGCGAAATTGCGAGTGTGTGTGTGCGTGCGCGCGCGCGCGCGACATTGCCTGCTTTACGCTCAATGAGAAAGGGTGCGGGGGGAGGGAGG